GAAAAACTTTTTTAGAATTTACCAGTGATTGAAAGGTACCTAGTGAGTGCCCAGAACTATCTACATCACTGAAATGCAAATAGTCCAATCACACTTGCTGGGTAAATCAGAGCATAGGCTAAGTACTCATCAGGGTTTCAAAAGACAAGAAAGAGTAAGATGATAAGACTGAGTAATCATCATCATAACAGCTTCATATATATATATAAAATAGTTAGTATAGAACGTAAATGTTTATGAATGTATGTAGGTTACCCAAAGGATAAAAGAAAGGAGATGCAAGAACAAGAGCTGAATGAAATAAAGTTTGCAGTTCAGCTTTGGTCCAGTTGGTCTAGAGGCTGGATATGCAGGAGGGGTTGCCAGAGCCAGAAAAAACCAAGCACTGCCTGCAGGAGGGACATGACCTTCCAGTGGAGAGGAACGGAGGGAGAGAAGGCAGAGAGCTGACAGGTTTTAATGATTTCTCAGCTGACATACAATGAAGGTTTTGTTTCAGTTTTGCAAGGTAATTTTTAATGGGCAATAACATGAAATGCTGAATGTTTGGCACAATGTTTTATATGTTATGGTCTTCCTGCCAGAGATCTTTGTTTCAATGTTTTTTTTTTTATTTCATAGTCCACAAGAGCAACATCTATAATCTGAGTCCCTTTGTCCTCTGCTGCACTTCATACTGGTCACCAAACAGTTAACCTGTGTTGTTTTTTAGGAGTCCCATCTCCCTTCTGCCAGGATCAATGATAAAATTCTGACTGCAAAAGTGAACAAGCCTGTGGGCCAGATGGATATTTGGTAGCAAAACATTTGAAAGGCTCTTACTGCAATAAAGAGCTGTATGAAGTATTTGCTCTAAACACAAGTACCCATCTCTTGTCTCCAGGGTATTTGTAATCAATATTATATTACAGGTTGATTAAATACCAAGATATTGGAGCAGTGAATCTCAAAGTGTAGGTTTGAGTTTTCTTTGTTTCTCAAAAACAACTGTATAAATTGTTTAGAGAAATGTTGACAATACCAGAAAACAACAAAATCCAAATAGCATCATAATCGATATTTCTGAACATGCGATCTTGGCAAGGGGGAAATATTCGTCATTGGATCAGTACCTGGCAAATGCTGTAGGTGGGCAAGAATATTACAACTTTGTAAATTAAATATTTGGCCCATATCTCCTGTGCTGTGTGCAAGTATATAGTACAACATCTGGAATAGTTTCTATACATAGCTTCTTAGACTAGCATCCAGTGTGTGCATAAAAGGTGGATGTCTCTCAAAAAGCTGATAACATCCATGGGAAGCCAGATAGAATGCTCGAAATCTATTTTTCTTCACAGATATGTGATAAAGGATATGCATGGTGTGGAAAATTGAATTTGGTGCATTTGACACTGTAACAAAAAATGTGTAAGCAAAAGAATGATGTCCATGTGAAGAAGTACAGCTAACTGAGCCACAATTCATAGCAGCAGCGGGTGGTTTGGCCCTCTTGTCACTGGATTCCTTTTATCTCTTTAGGCTTTTTGTCTTTGGCAATAGTTATTAGATTCATGTCTATTTGAACGTGAGTGTTAAAGTCTGGGGCCAGTGTGAGAAGAAGGACGAAGAAAGAACCTGGCTCCAACTATAAAAAAAAGTTGGGCCATCAATATTCTCAGCAGTGGCAAAGCATAGGTGCATCTGTCTCTGTTTTTTAGTTTTGACAGGGACACCTTGGTATGTGAGGGGAGAAACGTACATGAAATGAGTAAAAGCTGAAGAGTGCTCCCTCTGTGAGCTGCCAGCAAAACAAAATTACAGGAATGCTGTGTCAGAGACCAAGCCAATCGGACACACACTGTCTCCTTGCATCCCTACACCAGCTTCCTCGTTCTTTCATTTACCGGAGCTCTTTTATTCAGTCCTCTTTTTAATGTCTTATTACCAAAGTTTAGGTTTGTTCTTTGGGGATGGTTTGTTTTTTTTATTTCATTAAAGAAGGTTTGAGAATTTGTTTGTTCTAATAAGCTGGAGCTGTAATTTGGAAATGGGTTAAGCTTGCTTCCAATTAAGGAAGTTAACGTGAAATAATTGCATTCGGAGAGAGAGAGAGAGAGAGAGAAATCAGTTCCCCAGCTGAGCTGTAGAAGAGCACAGCTTTGTCTAACAATGAAGGTAGAAGCAGATGTTTAGAAAAACATGTAAAAGCAATCAGAGGGGGATTTATACATTTGGTTATTAATTAAGATGTATGCATCTTAAGTTTGCTTCTCTTGTACTTAAATAAAGCATACATGATAAGGTCCTATAAGGCCATGAGTATGTCCACAGCTAGTAAAAATATACATGGTTTTGTGCACTCTCTGTTTTGTCAAGGTTAAAAAACGTGTAATGAGTAGCAGAGTGATTAGAAATAGTGAGTGACTGAGGACTTCTAACAATGCTCATGTTTGCTTTTTAATTTGTGGGGAATAAGGGAAGTGGAATCAGCCTTTCTGATTGGAGGGACAGATGTGCTTCAAGATCTGAGGTGGGGACGGACAGCTGTTGAGAAACCATTAGTTGTTGCAGTCAGTTTAGAGAAAAGAAAGAGCAGAGGGTGGGTATTTGCTAGATAACTGTCTGTGCTATAATCAGGCAAAGATGTACTAGTGTGGGTAAGAAAGAGTAAAGGCTTCAAAACTTTGGATAAGAATATGTACCTTTTTTAAAAAAATATATGTGCCTTATCCAATAAACTCAAATTTCATTTACAGCATAAAAAGTAACATTATCTGAGACTAAAATTCGAAGAACCAACACTGAACTCACTTGGCTGTTCCCGTAAGTGATCATTCCTGCAATTTTTATGCAAGTATTAAAGTACTAGTTAAATGGTTTCTCTTTTCTTTGTTCCCTTGTTTGAGCTGTCCTTGAAATTCATAGAACCATAGAATCATTTGGACTGGAAGGGACCTTGAAAATCGTCTAATTTCAACATCCCTGCCATGGTTAGGGACACCTTCCACTGGACCAGGCTACTCAGGGCCCCATCCAACCTGCCCTTGAACACTTTCAAAACATTTCTGCATCCACAACTCTACAATTTCTCTGGGCAACCTGTTCCACTGCCTTGCTAACCTCACAATAAAGAATTTCTTTCTAATATCCAATATAAACCTACTCTTTTTCAGTTTGAAGCCATTCTCCCTTGTCCTTTCACATGCCCCTGTAAAAGGTCCCTCTCCATCTTTCTTTCAGGCTACCATCAGGTACTGGAAGGCAGCAATTAGTTTATGCTAAAGCCTTCTCTTCTCCAGGCTGAACAAGTTCAGCTCTTTCAGCCTTTCTTCACAGGAGAGGAGCTCCATCCCTCTAATAATCTTGGTGTCTGTCCTCTGAACTCACTCCAACAGGCCAACGTCCTTCCTGTGCTGGAGACCCCAGAACTGAATGCAGTACTCCAGGTGGGGTCTCACGAGAGCGGAGCAGAGGAGCAGACAAATTCAACATGAACTTTAAAAAAGTAACAGACTGTTGGCTTTTATGGATTTTCTACCTGACTTGTTTCTGAGGTAACTTTGATAGTATTAATGAAAGATGAATACTGGCAGGGGTTGTGATTGGTGTGTTGCTTGTTGTGAGGAGGCGTTATTTTACACAGATAAACCTTGTAAATTAATGTCTGAGAATCAAATACATTTTCTGGCTGAAATGTTACCCTTAAGTTGACTTTTCTTTGTGATTAAAGTGCTCTTTGATATAGTAAATCAAATAAGAAGTAATATGATGGATTCGTCTTTCACGTAAATCAAAAGTGGTTCTGCTCCTGGAGCCTCAGTACGCCTGGAGGGCTGCAGAGTCTGGATCCCCTTTCAGCAAGTGGACAATCAGGCTTGCTGCTGCTGCTGCTACTGTTTTTATTTAGAAGATGAAAAGCTCAAGCTGATGTTCTGTGAAATCTTGTAGGGCTGCTCTGATGCGCGAAGTAACAGAGCTGAGAGACGGGGTAACTGCAGCCTGCCTCTGCTTGCATCTGCCAGCCTGTGTGTGCTTGTGTGTCCTTACTGGAGGGCGTGGAGGGAAAGTAGATACACCTTCCATGTACAGGGCGGTGCTTAGTTTCTGTGATTTGGTGTTCAAATAATGAGATCATTAAAAATAAACACCTTTAATTACTATTTAGACTTACGTATTTATAGCCTTGTGACCTACTAGTTTTTTTAAAAGCTGGGTTGTTTTGGCTATTCATACAGAGGCTTTCTTCTGGAGGTTCACCAAAGATTGCAGGTGGATGTTTGGGCTCATTTCTCCTTGGTAACAAAAGTTACTCAGTTGTGTCATAAACCATATGTGGGTTTCAGTGTTAAACTGTTTGCTTTTTGTGGTTCATTCTAATGCTTTTGATGAAGTACCACTTTGCTGTGACCTTTTCCACTATTTTCTTTGTCCTTGTCCTTTAAACGTGATGGAATTTCTGGAGATAGAGACAGGTCTTTTATTAAGGAAGTGTTAAAATGAAGAATTTTCTCTGGAGGTTGCCCTCTTTATGTAAAAGGATATTGCAAATGACATTTGGACTTTCCATAACTGAACTGAGACTTTAAATCTTTTCTGAACCTCATACGATGAAAGACAAATAACTGAACACTGCTATTATAAATTATGCGAACTTCATATGCTTCAAGAAAGGCATTCTACATGCCTTACTTTGACAAAGCTTCTGCCGCCTTCCTGGGAAACCTCGGCAAGTCAAAATTTGGCTTGTGATCATAGGCTAATCCTCTTCATAGTAAGCATCACTAAATGCTGCCTTCTGAAATTATATCACTCTTGGGAGGCCTCACTGATCACTGAACAGTGATCCTACTGTGCTTATAGCATGTTGCGAGCCAGACACTTACGAATGGCATTTCAAAGACTGAGTTAATTTAACCCTTTTTCTTTAAGTGATCAGAGAATCTTTTCAAAGGGTTATCTTTATGATAGTGTTGTAAATAAATAACATAGCTTAAGAGAATTAGGAAAAAAAAAACAAGTTAGAAAAAACAATTTATTAAGTAGTATCATATAAATAACTCGTTACAAAAATCAATTTGCAAAAAGGCAAGTTCGCTCTGTCTGTGAGAAATTGTTGTTCAAACTGGTTTCTCATCAAATCTTTAAATTTCATTTCCCCTGCCCCCCAACCCCCCAAAAAGAAGCCAGTACAATGAACAGGAAATGTAAGAGAGAGAGTGCACACTTTCCGTCTGACCATAACAAATTGCCCATTCACACTGCAGAAGAGATAATCATTCCAGCATGGGTCCCTTTGCAAAACAGGTAAGTTCCTAAGTGTAAATCTCTTGGGCGACAAAAATATTATCGCCCACAAGTCCCTCTCTGCTGAGCATTGACCAGATCCATCCAATGCTGAGGCTCCCTTGGCACAACTAGGGGATGACATCATGAGAGACTAAGTGGCTGGAGCATGCCAGCAAGTAAATCTTCCCAGGTGGAGGCATTGGTTTCAATTTATGCTTGGAAGTATTTTTAATTAAAAAAAATCAATACCAAAAAGCATTTATTTTAAAGGGTTTAAAAAATCACAAATCTCAATAGGAGTTTGCCAGATTGATTTTGCTTAGTAACACAGTTCAGATGCACATAGCATTTATTATAAGGCCTTTCTTTTAAGTTTAATTTTTCAAAGCAATGAAAGTAATCACAGAATTAAAACAGTACAGTGATTTTAAAGTTTTTTATGTGTCAAAATCCAGAACAATTTTGTGTTTGCTGTGTTGTTTCTTTGTTGTGTTCACCTGAATGCTTAATAATTCTATACATTTATATCTCTAATATACACTAAAGTGGTAGATCATAGAAAACTAAAAGCTTATAGAAAGTGTCTCCAAGTATATTTACATAAATAGTGCAGTCTCATAGGAAAGGTCAAAAGCCCATGGGAGTAGAAAGGATTTCTCTATATGCTGGACTTATGCCTTATCTATCAAATTGACTTTGGGGACGGAGAAATTTAAAGATAGCAGCTCCTTTTTTGGCTTTTTTTCCCCCCTTTTTTTTCCCCTTCTTTCTTTTTTTTTGTAATTTATTTTTAAAGAAAGCAAAAGATACATGCAGAAAAAAATGTCCCTAAGGACAGGTTCTGTAAAAAACTCCTTTGAAATCCAGTAACTCTATCCGTGATAGCTTTGTGGCTTTAAGTGCCACGGCCTGCCTTGCATATGACTAATTACCTCCCCCCACCCTCCTATGCAATTCACTTTCTGTTCTTCTTCCTCAAACTCCCAAGTTCTCTGACACTTGTGCTCCCTGTAATCCCAGCCATAGCTTTTGGATACCTACCAATGAATTTCATGAACAGTTCAGGAAAGTGTTTAGTGTATGACAAACAGAGTTTTGGGTTCGAAAGTGTAATATTGCAAAATGATGGGCAGGATCAAGATTGTTTCAGCTGGCTTAAATAAAACAACTGAGAGGAGAGACTGGTATTAAAGCATTGCGTTGGCTGTTGTGTTTTTTTCTTTCTTTCTGGATCAATGCATGAGTCTGTAGACATTAAATATGCTTTTGTTCCTCTTAAAGTACAGAAAGAATATCTGAGAAAAAGTCTTTCTGAAGACTAAACTGAAAACAAAAAAAACAAACGTATTGTGGTTTTGACATTTATTGAAGGAGGCTGCTGTTTCACAGGTCTGAAGGGCTGGAAGAAAACCTGCCTTTCACAGCTTATGTCATAGTTCATATTCATTGGAAGTAGTGTAATGACTGTTAATTTGTCAACTCTCATTTGACAAGGGAGCTCAGACTGCAGAGTTAATTGAAATGCAAATGGACAGGGGATGGCAGCATCCAATTGGGACAATGGTTCTTCTGAAAAATTTTAATACTACTTATAGCCAAAGAAAACATGGAGAGGATTCTAACAGATGGTGGCAAGTAGAGCTAACACAGTGCAAAAAGTTACTGCTTAGAATGACTGTCAGTAATTCACCCTGCATCAAGCTAGTTCTGCTGCAGAAATGTAACATGTTACTTTCTTTCCTAAAGATCTGCATAGAAATGGCTTGGATTTAATTTGCTTGGTCTGCAAAAGTTGATGTCTTTCTTCCTACCCATGCAAATCTCCCTCTGGCTGCAGTAGGAAACCTGAAAGTGTTAAAAGTGACTGTGTAGTGTTGGTTCTGCTCAACATGGATAATTCTAATTCTGAAACATGGGCAGCTTCCAATGTTATTTCCCTTCTTTTTAATCATACTGTACATGTGTAGACATATATTTCTAAAGCAATTTCTTTCTGCTCTACTTCTTTATGACTGTTCTGGTTTTTTATGGTACTGCAGATATTCAGTTACTTGGTTTTGTGGGATTTTTGTGATGTTATGTATCCTGCTACTTCCAAAAGTGGATTGATTATTTGAAGGTTGCCTCTCCCATTCACATTTAACAGCTAAGAAATACCTGTCTTTAGAATGAATTAAGACCAGAAAAATATATCTTTTGCTTAGGAAAAATTTAGAAAATATTGGTGTCGGTACAGGTGAAGTGTTCTTTTTCTACTAGGTACCTTAGCCAGCAATTTTTTTACTAGAAATAACTGAAAAATAGAGACAACTTTTTCTCACAGTTAGACACAACTCTATCTATGTCAGTTTTGGGAATACATCCCAGTCCTGTGATCCTGTTGGTAGAGCCCTGTAGAAACACACAAATTCCCTTGTGCAGAGCTTTCTGCAAGTGTCTGCCTCATCTTCCACGCACTTGTCTACAGAGAGAGGTCCTGGTACAACTGTATTGGAGTCATGGGCTGCTGTGTCTTCCCATACCAGTGCTGTTGTAGGATATAACTGGATTTAACCTGAAATAATCATTTTACTGGAGTAAAAAAACCCCAAACAAACACAAAACAAAAACACCACGTGTCCCTCCCCCCCCCCCATTTTCTGAGATAAAGTGACTCTTCTGGAAGATGGCATGAAATAGCTATAGTAGAAACATTATTCCAAATGTAGAGATACTACTGTTCTGCAGTAGCACAGCTGGAATAGTCCCCCCGGTCCCTGTTTCATCTTGACTCCACTGAATTCCTTGGCATCTTTTTAATAGGTCTCCTGCTGTTAGGTCAGATGCTTTTCCAAATTAAAAGCCAACTGTGTTGCTATCTCTCTACCTGGCTTAGCTGAACTTCCTAATAATATTACTTCTTCTTAAATAGGCATGGTTGTAAGAAGAGCAGGCTTAAAACAGCCTTGAAACCCACTTCATAGCCCGTAGTCCAACACTTGTTTATCTGTAAATGACAACTGTAGCACTGTGTGAAAGCATTGTTAAATACTTATTTCTATCATCTAGCACGCTGCCATGCAATAAAGTGCAAAGAAATACTACTGAAAAGTTTTGTATTCACTGTAATATGGCACTTTCAATGTTTAATATGCAGTACTGATTTTATAAATTGCACTTTGTGGTACTGCCAAGCAAGAAGAAAAGGAAGAATTGAACTCTTCTTGCTGTGTGAGAGATGCTAAATTTGTGTAATTTGCAGGAAAAAATAGACCTTAAAACCTAGATGCATAAATGATAATCTGGATGTAAGTTTGCCTCAAATTTTCTTAGAAGAATGCATTTTCTATTCAGGCACCATATTTGTGGTGACATAACATAATTTTATATATATAATATATTTACATAACAGGCACGAGTAGCCACTCTCTATTATTTACTGTGTCACTCAATGGACAAGAAAAAAACAGCTTTGAGTTAAAAGGAAAGAAATCAAACCAATCCAAAACTTGTGCTTGGACTGCTACTAACAATCACGAAATCAGACAAAATCACTGTACAAACATAGGAAAGTAGTTACAAGTTACCCTCCTGTCTCATTATCCCACCCCAAGAAGCGACCAATGCAGGCTGACCCACAGGGTGGTCCAGCCCCTTCAGGGTGCAGGGTCTGGCTTCAGTAAAGTGCCAGTGATTCCCTCTTCCCAGTGAGCTGGGGGTGTCTCACAGGGCAGTTTCACAGCCACCTCTGCCATCCCCTCCACACATAAATCTGTTTCCTCAGGGCTTAAGGAGAGGAAAGGACAGTTCACTGGCTCGCTTTGAGCATCCAGCTGCAATCTGAGCTTGAGGTTATTCGCTGGAGGCAACCCCATAGTGAAGGATGAGAGAGGCGCAGGTTTAGGAACCCCTGGAGGGATAGATTGGCCCCAGTGACTGTACGAGGGGAGCAGCCAGAAGTGAGGGACTTGTGGCAGGTGGTGCTGAGCATCTGCTGCTCCTCCGCATATCTGAAATCCAGATGGTCTCTCCTGTCTGCCAGAGCCAGCTTTTGGACAGATTGCTTCCTAGAAGCTCTGATTTCAAGGAAACCATGAAGGGCTAGGCTTTCAAAGGCTTTTATCATCTTAAATTACTTAGGGGCCCTCAGGAGGACATAATAAGCATCTAGCTGTGCTGCACCCATCATGATGGGTGCAATGGGCTCAGGCCCTCTAAGTGATGGAGTTGGGAACTGTGCTCTGCTGACCTTAAAACAGTGTGAGAGGCTGCCCCAGGGAGGCTGGGGGCTCAGGACCCTTGGAAACTCTGGACTCCTCTGCTCTGTAAACCCACACAGTCGATCATGCTGGGCATCTGAAAACCATTACCTACTCTGCCCTACACCTATAGGTGTGCAGTGCTCCCCACTGAAAAGGAGTCCCAGCCAGGCATCGCGGCATGGCCAGCTCATCCTCTTCCATGTGAGCTGGCTTGCAAAACCTGAAATTATGTCATTGTGGTTGTAAAAGTCTAATGCTTGGGACTCTTAACTGCTCTCTTCAACTCACTTGGAGTAATGAATCCCAGGGATTAATTTTTAATCCCTCTTAATTTTCTGTTTATTAACTTTTTTTCCTCATCTCTCTTTATTTCTGGAGTAAATTGGAGCTGTTTAGTTTTCCGACTGATTCACTTAAGGTCTGGGGAAGGGGGAATAGGTCCATTCCTACAATTATGGTATTAAATACTGTTTCAAAATGAAACAAATGAGAATAGTTATGTATGAGGTACATTAAAAAAAAATTAATTCCTTCTTTCCTTGACATAGAGCCATGGGTTGGTTCCTACTTTGGGACTCAGGATGGCTTTTAGCTCCTGGAAATTGGATATGCCCCATGGCAGCCCCTCAGGATTTTCTCCAGACAGTCTCTTCTAGATGGCTGAATTTGAAGAGCAGCCATTACACATTTGACAAACCTACTGAAATACTGAGTGGTGCTCAAACTATAATGAAAAACAGTTTTGGCCCAAAATTATGGTGTCTCCTCCCACCCCACCCCTGGACAAAGATTACTTAGCTTGGCAAAGTAGATAAACACACACACCGAGACTTGTGGTAAGGTGATACATAAGGTCACACAAAAGAAGGAAAAAAACCTTCCTATAGATTCCTGGAAAACTCCGGCACCAGGGGAGACATTCCCAGAAACTGATAAAAGGAATAAAATGAAGAAAGGAGTGTTAAGGAGATAACACTGCCTTTTTTTGGGACATCCTGGCTTACTGGGAACTGAGGAAGTGGACCCTTGGGCCTATTTCATCTATCACCCCAAAATTAGTTTACTGACTATAACCACTCAAACTTCCAAAAGAAATAAGGTATAAAAAAAGACTGGACCCAAGCAAAAATTGGGGAGAAGTTCCATCAACTCTGAGGAGGTAACCTATGGGCTACCTTTTCTTCCTCCACCTTCTTGTGACACCTTGGGGTCAGCGATTGCTTTATACATATATACTAATTTTACTTTTGCTCCATAGTAATTTAAATTTTTCCTTATTATTTTGTTGTATGTTGCTTTTGCTTTATAGTGTGTACTTAAGTTTTTTGCTTTACTTAGTCTTTGTAAGTTGTCTTACTTAGTTGTACGTAAGTTGCTTTTACTTTAGTGTGTGTGCCTCATGCTTTGTATTATTATTATTACTACATAGTTTAAGTGTGGTTTTTTGCAGTATGACCCTATTCCAGACACAGCGAACCCCATAAATTGTCACAAATTTGCATTAAGAAATGTGTTATTTCATGAACTGTTAGAGTGAGTCCGTTCTTAGATGCTGACAGTTTCATCAATGGTGAAATAACTCATAGGGGAAACCTGCTGAGAGGGTTTTCTGCCGCTATTAAGTGCAGTGCCTATTTATGAAAGGTATCAAATGTCCTGTCCATCTCAGCAAATCTATTAGTGAAGGTTTTCATTAGATGAGACACTACCAGGCTGTTTTGGACATTAAAAGGCTTTGATCTCCTGGAGGAGGGACACTGATTGGCAAAAAATAAATTACTACAGGTTGGAGAGAAAATTCTTCTTCTTTGCCCCTCTTAACATGACAGAAAATGATACCAAGAAAGGGTGTCATGAACATTCTTCTGCAAAAATGCATATTTACCTCTTCCCAAGTGGAGGAAGAGTGCACTGAAATGTTTAGAAAAGCTAAAGGAAAAGTTCTGAAATGCATGGACCACCTTAAAACCCTGCTCGCAAACCACAAAGAGAAACAACTGCTGGAAAAACAAACTCCTGTTGGAGTCAAACAGCCCCAAAAGTCAGTAACTCATCCAGATATGGGAATCTGGAAAGGAGATATCTGCTATGATAAAACCACAGAAAACTGTAATTCTAACGAAAACAAATGTACTGTTTTGCAAAACGATTCCTGCTCTCCAATAGAGGTGGCAAAAGTGCAGGAAAATATAGAGAAACTGGAATTACAATTCAAACAACAAAGTGTGTTTCGTGCACAAGAAAAATATAAAAATTTACCCGCTTCCAAACAGATTAGTGATGCTGAATATGTGGTTTTGAAATCAGAAAATAAAGTATTAAAGTTATTTATCCTATAAGAGGGGAAAGAGAAGAACAATTGAAAACTCCAGTTTCTGAACTTGTTGCTAAAAACAAGTTGTTTAGAACTGAAGCAAACAACCTTAAATTTTCACTTACTACAGCACGCTTCGAACAAAAAGAGCTGCAGGTAAAAGAGGTGTTATATGCTAAAAAGAAAAAAAATTGCCATCAAAACTACTTGCTGTTAAACGCAATCAAAAAGAACTGTGGAATGTGCATACATTAAAGAAAAGCTACAAAGTGTTGAACTCACTAAAGTTAGTGTTTGCCAAGCTACTAAAATCCACTGAAATAAACAGTTGTTTGCTGCTAGCCTTGCGATTAAAAACTCTGGCATCTGCAGGGTGAAAGAGAATTTTAGTAGTTGATACTAACTCAGAAAACCAATTAATATTAACTCTTTATTATAGGCACTTGTATGCCAACACATTTCTACTAGCATCTGCTGTGCTTAATATCGTGAACTGAACAACTAAAGTACACCAAGCCTACTTAGGTATTCACAGGGTAGTAACTATCAAAAAAAAAAAAAAAGTTATCACTCAGGCTTTGTTAATTTTCCTGTCTGTCCAGGGAAAACTGTAAAGAGAAAATTGTGCATTATCTTTTGCTGCAAAAGATTACATACTAATTTTTGACTGCTATTAAACTATCAAAATCTGACCATAAATCAAGCAGGATTGAAATACAGTCAATACTAACGCAGTGGGATGCTAAGAAGCTGCATCCACTTTCTAGACAGCATCCAGCCACTGGAGTAAACGGAATGAGTGTTACCTATTGAACGGATAAGTTAACTCATGGCTCCAGAGCGAGAGGCAGAAGCTTGCAAAAAACCCTAAAAGAAATCCAGCTCAAATAGTGACTCTTGTCAAATTTTTATAAGCAGTCTCACTTGCTCTGATCAAAGAGGAGATCCACCCCTAAACTTGGAGACAAACTGTAAAAACTAAGTGGCAAATACTTTGTGAAGCAGAAGTTGAAATCTTTTTTGAATCTTAAACACCTCTCTCTAATCAGCCTCTCTAGTTCAAGAGTGAACAAGCATATTTCTTTTTTTTGCTTGTTTCACAGGAATACGCATAAAAAGAAGAAAGCGTACTTGAGCAAAAATGATGTGATCTTACACTTCCTCTTTGTTTCTCTTACCTAGCTGGTTTATCGTAAACAATTAAATATCAGTGCTTGACTTTTAACCACTGTGTTAAACAACTTGACTCACTAAGTGATAACCTGTAAGAGAAAGGCCTTAGGGACTTTTGTGGGTTTTTTTTTGTTTTCCTCTTTCTCTAGGAATGCAGCACACACAGAAGAGACTGCCATCAAACTTCTCTTAAATTCTTTTAACTTTTGTAATACACAGAAGCTAAGTCAACACTTGATGAATTATTCCTTTGGTTTTTTTATTTTTATGATTAATTTATAGTAGGTTGAATTTTCACCTTATCTTTTTATAGGAACAAGATACGAGTGAATCAGAACTGCCTGAGACCGATGAAACTTTTAAAAATTACTTAGATTATTAGTTTATCAATTCTTGTAATTTGTTTGTGTTTTCATCAAGAACTATTTGTTGGAAGACCAACTATTAACCAAGTTATATAAACCAAACCATTTTATGTATTGTTAGTTTAAAATTTAATTAGTTCACTTTGCCTCTTCTTTTCCCTTTACTAAATAAGAGAATAGGGTGGAAAAAACTTTTACCTTATGAATATATAACTTTATTTCAATTAAAAAAAAATTTAAAAATTCAACCAATTCAACTTGGAAGTAGATACCAGGATTTATGCATATCTGAAATTATATAAATATGTATTAACTTTCCAATTCTTCCGCAGGAGACTTTAGATTTATTAAAATGATTTAACTAATTTCTTTTTCCTGTCTAAAAGGAAAGAGAACTCTAGAATGCAAACAAGACCTGCAAATAAAATAAAATTTAAAAATACCTATAACCATTTTTTAAGAAATACTTATATTCTCCTAAGTACTTTTTACTTTATTGTACTTCTCTTTTTTATGCTAATCAATTATTGTTAAAAGAATGTGATAAGAGCGATTTACTCACTGAAATAAAAAAAAGGGGGAAAACAATTTTACTTTAACACAACCTATGCTTGCATCTTATTTATAACAGAAACATGGTATAAAATTATCATTTAATTTTATAAAATATATGTGTGACGGGGTGGTCATAAATAAAAAATGTGTACTTCTACATATACTTTTGCTTAAACTACTTTTTATAAACAGAAATGGACCATCACAAAGAAGAATGGAAATGAACACTTTCTAAAAGGAATTAACAAAAACATCATCTCAATAGGACGCTAAATTAAAAATAATGCTCTAAATGCATGACAACAATGTTAGACATTGTTGTAAACTATACTAAAAAAAAAAAAAAGATATTCCTGCTTTTTAAAGCATGAATACTAACATAACTTTAAAATATACCTTTAAACAGACCCCAACTCTCAAGAGAGCTTGGCCTTTCAATTCTTAAATGAGCCAAGCTGTTGATACAAAATAATATTTCTGCAATTACACTATCCCTGACAACCTTATATGTGGAATGCAATTAATATAACAAGATTGAAAGTTCTAATAACATGAGCTTTCAAATATTAATATATTAATTAATAAACTGGTTACAGTTACCGCTGACCTAAGTAAATCAAAACAACCATCTACAACTTTTCCCTTTTAGCTTTGGGAACTAATCAATGGCCTTTAACAAACTTGTTATCTCAATGAGAGGGAATTGATAAAAAAAAAAAAGAAAAAAAATCATCAATTGATCACAGATGCATTTAGCGTCTTCCAAACCAATGTCTCTTTGACTCTCAGATGTATCCAGACACACCGATGGATACAATCAATAGCAACTACCATCACAAAAGAAAGGTGAAGGGAAAACATCTTGCCTATTAAAATTCAACACATGACTCGGAATAATACAATTAATTTAAAAAATATATATTAAAAAAAAAAATTGAAATCCTGATGGTATCTAGTCAATTTTACCTATGATCCTTCTGGCAACACAATTACAGCTTTTTTGCTGACAATCCTTTAAAACTAAATCACCACAGAACTATTCTGTACCCTCTAAAGCATAGAGTACAAATCTGAAAACATGAAAATTCTTCCTTTCTGACCATTTTAACATGACACTTATGATTAAAATTTTACCTTTTGGTGAAGTCTTTAACAAACCTGGCTGTGTAGTTTATTTTAAAAAAATGAGTTATAGTTATAAACCCTACTTTTTCAGGCCACTGGAATGACAATTAATTCTCACTTATTTGTGCATTCAGGGCTTGAATCTGGAAGGAAGAAAAAAAACCACAATCCAAACCCATGACAATTTACTTCCTTCAGTAGAATGCCAACTGTAGAATGTTTTCCATTTCTAAAGCATTTTCCAAATGACTTACTTAGTTCTTGCAACATCCTGATGAGGTAGGAATTATTTCCCCATTTTATAGATAGCGAAACTGGGCAGAGAGTCAAGTCAGGAATCCACCCTGGACATCCAGGTAGAGAAGGTGAGGACAAAAAAAGCAGTGTGTCCTCCTCTGCAATTGCTCCGTTTGCCCCAGTGGGTGGCAGAGTCACCTTGAGGCCACTCCTCCCCACCTGCACATGACAACAGGCAGAAGTAGCTGGACATGAACATCCTGACTCTACCCTCCCCAGTGCAGTGACCGTCACTGAACTGATGTGCAGGTGGAGGCCAACTGAAGAAGTCCAAACAAAAGCACAGTAATGATCTGTTCCTTTGTCCAAGTCATGACCTAATCTGGGGCTGGATTTGATGATTTTCCCTGTATTTCAAAGCAGGTCTGGGTTAGAACTGGGAATTCATCTAAGAAGTAGATATTGGGGCAACTGACCACACACGCGTGCAACACACACACATCTCTCCAGCAATGCTAGGTCAGAAGAATATATACAGAGAAGTCAATGAACTATATATATGTGTGTGTCAGTGTGATTCAGTGCATTGGGGACATGGCAAGTTCTAGAGAAACACTTAGGTTTAAATGACCATTAAGCCTTTTTTACCATCTCCATGAGTAAAATGCATGTTTGATGTTTTTTCTCAGCTTACTCTACTTGTATAATAAACCTTCATTCCATCACCACTACTTTTAACTATAATACATAGGGTAAACTAGGGTACCTCATTACATTGGGATGTGCAATACACAATCGACAGAGCAATTGTCTGAGCTGAATAGTCTAAATATAAGTAAAAAAGCAAGTGAGCTTAAACAGTAATATACTCCAATTTACAATATAAGCAGAACAAGTAAAAATATTGCCCCTTATCTGATTCTTTCTTTCCCCTCCACTACTGCTGTGCCTGTAAGACTAGCCTGGTAAACTGGATGCACTAAAAAATAAGGATTTTGCCTCTTGGAAGCTCATAAAATGATACTAGAAAAAGTTTTCTGATGGCTAACCCACACAGATTTCTGTCATTAGACAATTCAAACGGGTAGAATAGAGAACCCTTTTCACACAGCTGTGGAGAAATAGAAAGAAATAGCCACTTCACATATCCCAACGCTGTTTCTGAAAATGAGGACAGGAAACAAAAAGAAAAAAAAAAAAAAAAGGCAACATATTAGGAGTCTTTGTCACTGTCCATTGAGCCATACATATCTGCCAGCTTTTTAAACCGAGGTCCCCAGTCACTGAGGTAATCGTAGTCCTGATCTCCATCTGTAGTCACTGACTCCAAGGAGCTGAGGGACTCGGCCACAGAACCATTACCTTCGTATGCGTAGGTTGCTAACGAGTCATACGGGGGGGCTGTTGGATCTGTATCATTTTCCTTTAACCTTTGGTTAATGAAATCTCTGACATCCGTGTTATCCCGCGCTGTTGCAGTCCGCCGTGGTATAAAAAGTGTTTCGGGCACAATGTCTCTGCGCAATTTATTATCATCTATAGCTTCAGGATTTCTCAGCGTGCCAATATCAAATGCCTGGGTGTCTTCCTCTCCACCACCTTCATCATTATAACTGACAATGTTGTCTCTGATGTCTTCTTTGGAAATAATCAAAGGCTCTTTTTTCCGCTGCCGTCTCAGTGCTGCAAACAGCACCACTGTAACTAGGAACAAAAACAACAGTGAAAGAAGGTTAATCCCCAACTCCATTAAAGCCCAGAAGAAATGCTGCACCTCCACTCAAATTTAAAGTTTTAGAAAATGTTTTGCAAAACTGAAAACGTGTGTGGCAGGTTTTCAGGCTGTGCTTGCTCTGCCTGTGAGTTCCTTGGGAGATGAAATGGCATGGATGTGCACTAGAAAAAAGGCAACGTCAAGCTTTAAAGAAGCCAAGTGGAGTGTCATTTTGTCAGGGACACTTTTTGTTACCCAGAGTCATAATAGTAATTTTGAAATACCTTGAGAACAGAACTAGTTTCATAACAGTTGGAAGAAACCCTTTTTTCAAAATAAGTAACATCAGATGTTATTTACCTTGAACCTCTGGGACAATATGCAACTTCTGCTATGGACAAGGCTGGAATCCACTGAGTTTAGCTAAGCTGAATTTCAAGATAAGTAAACCTATCCTCCTCTGGAAAAAAAAGCCTGGAATATGGAGTGGATTTTGAGACAGCATAAAGTCTGAGTTTATTAACTTCCATGGAATGTTTTTACAATGTACATCACCTTAAAAAAGTACATGACTTAAATCTTAGACCGATGATACATGATAAAGTTATTTTTTAATCTGCCAAAGGCAGATTTCTGAAACACATTTTACGTTCTTCATTTTAAAGTGTGCGTATATGCATACATATATTTTTCATTTATTTCGAGGGAAGGAACTCTTTCAATGACCCTTGTCCAAATTTTAATATTTTGCTCAATAATGATTCTCAGAACTGTTGGAGAAGGGGACACTGAGGATGGAAAGGAATATGGTAAATACTTTTGTATAGAAGCTAATTTCAGATTTATTAGCTGGATTATGCATTAAGGTGGTAAATGGCTGAATACTGACAAATGAACAGCAGCAAGAAGCAGGGTTATTTCTACTATCAGTATTGCTTTGGCAGTTTGAGTTCTACATTGCCCAGTATTTCACCTCTGCTGTGCAAACTCCAAGGGAAGACACATCTTGCTGTTTTTATAGTTCTTTCATAGCAAAGGAAAGCAGAAATGCCTAAACTCATTGATATGAGATGATAAGGTGGATCACAATTATCTTTCATGTCAACTGTGTTTCTAAAATGGTATGTGAGTCAAAGTACAGTAACTTTTAAGGACTTTTTTGTAACCTTTTAAAGGGCAATGGCGAGTCCCCAGCCCAAAACTTTAGCCCATTGAAACTTCTCATTCTTAGCTTCCTTTGACAGACAAAAAGCTGGTTTGTTGGGGTTTTTGGGGTTTTTTTTGCGGGGGACTGGGGTGGTGTGGTGTTGGTTTCATTGGTTTTAGGGGATTTTTGTGGGGGATTTTGTTTGTTTGTTTGTTTTTAAATTATGAGCTCCCCTGCAGGATTGCTTAGAGCAAGATACTATCCATAGGTGTGCCCAACCATGTTGTGGAAGATGTGTTTTTCCTCTCCATTAACTATGGAAGGATACCAAGAAGACAGGATAAAGTAGGAAAATGCTGTGTCTTATTGTGGGAATACTGGGAATAAGGAAGAACATCTTTCAATATGAGCTGAAAGGAAATAAGTGAGGTGGTGAAACTAAAGGAATTAGGAGAGATGGTTCAAATGGTGGCAATTCAGGCTTTCAGCCTAACGATGAGAATTCACATGTGGTGTCACAAAAGGGTCCTAATCTGAGCGATGCCTCTTTGTGCCGCTGTGCAAAAACGCAGTAAGAGATAATTCTCTTCCTCGAGAGCATAAAGCTGTGACACTCCGTGGGAGGACTGGGGAAAGGTATACGTGACAGAACAGAGATAGCTAGAGAATATTCTGGAGAACTTGAAAAACAATGTCAATTTTGAATGAGCTTCTGGAATAGCGACTGGTAGAATGGTCTGAGAAAGCGCAGGAATGACAGATTTTACATCGAAGGGTTGCTGAAGTAGCTCATCACAAGAAAGGTGTTACACAAAACACGCAAGAATGAAACTTTGATAATTATGTCACATGTCTGATATGTGTATTTTATTATTTTGTGCTGAACTTGCAGGCCAAAAAGCCCATTAGAAGTTACATGATAAAGTACATCACCTTTATTTGCATGTCAGTGTTTAGCAGTATCTGAGGCCTCTTGATAAGCTGCTAGACTTACTTAAACTCCAAATAAACCTAGCAATTTACAGTCACTTTTAGTTGCTGCTAAATTTTGAGTTGTGGTTCAGGTCTGCCCAGAGTATTGTTTTTCACTCAGTAGTGGTTGCACATTCAAACTCTGCAACCAACCTGAAAATGGAAAATTATATAGCTGAGTTAATTGAAAATCTGCTTATGGTGCTTGGTGGCGTGAGCAGTAATTGACATAAAGTGCTGCTTAGCACACAGAATCAATTATTTTCGATTGACATAAAACAGGAAATCGTTTAATGTCAGATTGATATTAATGAGCACAGTTGTACTAACGAGTGCGAGACTACCTGCAGCATTACATTTCTTTTTCTGGTAAGGAACTTAACACAAAGTGAGCTCAACCCTTAGGGGCAATGATACAATGTTTTGAGAAATGAATTTAAAAGTGAATTAAAGACAAGATGCTATTGTGGGAATCTTTGCTGAAAATGGGATAGTGCTTATTTGAACAAGCCATACTATATTGTTAACCTGAGAATCACAATGTGGCCTTTGACTCATTACTGGAGAGGGAAATTTTGTTAATAGTGAAGGTCAGGATGATTCTGCAGTGGTGCTGAGTATGTCCAAGGAAGATATTAGTATGGTAAAAAAAAGTAGAATCACTGAGGAAAAATTTTCTGCCCTGATTGTCCCTACTGATATAAAAATGGTTTGACTCCTCTCTTTCCTGACCAACAACATTTCCCAGAGAACAGCCTGTGTTGTATTGCACAGTTCTCCCCAGACAGACAGACTTTGGCTAATGGTCATATCTCTCTTTGCAGTACGAGAGGGGTAGAACCTCAGAGGAATGTGGGAGATGTTTCAAACTGTCCTTATATATATATGTATATATATATATCTCCTTTTATATATATATATATATATACATATAAAATGTTGACACCTGTAAATGTGAGCTCTGTACATCTTCCACACCCAGGATCCAACCTCTTCCTATTCACAGGTGCCTGAAATGGAGGACCCTGCAGCCTCTGAGAGGGTTCTTTAGAAGCTTTCAGCATACTTTTCCAACAGAACAGAAGCACTGAGACTTTTTTCTCCTCAGTTTAGACATGGGAAGTTAATTCTTTAAACCTACGTTATCTGGCCTCCTTCTACAGTCAACGTAAAGGGATGGACACCTGCAGAGGGTGATGAGTCTGGTCCTCCTCAGATACCAATAAGGAATGGGAGTAATGTCTCTCTATAGCTGTCTCTTTCCATCAACCAAGGGGTGGAACCAAACTGTCTCCTCTTGCTTGTACATTGGATAGGTTGTATTCTATACACTCTATCTGTAGCAGCCCTCAGAAGAGAAAATAGAATAATATATATGCAGGATAAGACAAAATGTCTTTACTCTGCCTTTGTCCTAGTCTTGCAATAATCATGATAGCAATGCAAAATAACCACGAAAGCAACAAAATGTACCTGAACTACTTACCAAGTAATATAATGATACAGAGAAGAATGGCAATAAGAGCCCCAGTGCTAAGACCAGTAGGATGAATCAAGGCTTCTGCATTGCAGGACAGCATCTTGCCTCGATGGTCACAAGCACATACTCGAATAGTCACTGTTTCAGTGCTGCTCTGGATAGGGTAATCATTGTCTGATATTACCACTGGTAAGAAGTAGGTACTTGTTTCATGCCGGTTATATCTGGTTTTTCGGGTGAAAATCCCTGCTGTGTTATCTGGAAATACACAAAGCATGCATTAAATCTTCATCTGAAGATTGAAAGCAAGGAAGAGATAATAAAGAAAAGTCTTCCCAGAAATTCACCTCTGTTGTCCTGTAGTGTGAAGTTTGAGCTGCTGGCTGCCTCAGGAGCTAAGGAAAATGAAAACTGATGTCCATTGTAAGAGTCGTCTTTATCAACAGCACTTAATGTTTGTATCAGCTGAAACAATAAGAACAGAATTATTTTGAAAGTCAGTGGACTTCATGTTTATTTATGTAATTTGTAAAGTAAATTGTAAAGTAATTTTATTTATTTTTTTTCTTCTGTTTTAAGGTAGATAATGTTGCTATAGGGAGCATAACAAAAGTGATGCTGTTTAGGATTACAATACTTATGTATCCTATACCATCAGCCAGTAGCATAATGAATTTGCAAGTTGGCAGGAAAATCATATTGAATTCTACAGAAGGCTTGGGTTGATGCCACTCCAGATGGGTAGGAAACCTTTGCAAGTGGCAAGCAATAGAGACAAAAGGTGAGACAGTCCTCAAAGCTCACTATTTATTTATCTGCCCAAATCTCATGTCACAGAATTAGTTTGGCTGAATTTTCCAAATTATCTACTACTTTGAACTACCCAACAATAGGACAGGTTGAGTGAGAGTTATCTGGCAGTAAATAGTTGTATCACAGACAGGACCTGTAACAGTTACAGCCCTGAAACTGTTTTTGAAGGAGACAGTGGAGGTGCCTGAATAAAGGAGAGAATCACAGAATGAAAATGAATCAGGGATAACAAGGTGCAGTACAGAAAATAACAGTCTAAAACATACCGTCGTGCTAGCTGCAAGAATACTAAGTGAAATCAGATACTGTGCAACCACTGTTTAATTTTGCAATTAAGTTTGATGCAATGCAAAGTACACCCTCCTGATGAGGTGATGCAAGAGTAGTAGCAAAACTGATTTAATTTGGAATATTTTCTAAGTACAAGGAGACAACACACCTGTTCTGCTTTTGCATTTTCACAGACGAAGGTTTCATAAAACATGGCAAACTCTGGAGCGTTGTCATTTACATCCAAAACCTTAATGAACACTGGAACACGGCTGCTTTGTTTTGGGTTGTCTGAAATGATAAACCCAGAATGAACAGAGATTTTATTTAGCCCAGCTTCCAGCTCAGTGCAGTAGAGGAAAAGGACAGACTTGTAGGCTCCTTGCCTTAATTCTCACTCACAGCACTCCACTTATATTCTGTTGATTTCTGGTGAATGCATTATGGGATGAATATAGTGTCATTACTCTAATTCTGTGTAAACTACATAGTTAAGACTACATAGGAGTCCAGGATTTACAAATTCCTTTGAACATTCCAAGTATGATTATGAATTTATTTGTGATATATATAATACTGGACCTAAATTAAATCTATTTATTAGCCCACAGACAGAGTTTGGTGGCAACAAAGTCTCTAGAACAGATCCCATTCCTTAGCTCTGAAACAGGATATTGAAGAGTCATGAAGATAGAACTGAGTGGGTTTTTTTCCTCTCTACTTGTTAAATATAATGTTCTGTCCCCACAAATCTTGTGACACAGTTCCTTAAGCTACCATGATTATCATTATGTTATAGAAATAGCAACTGCAGCTGTGATCACAGATGTTTTCTAATCTGCTATGAATTGGTTTGGTTGGTGTTCTAGAGTAAAACTAAAATGTATTGGCTGAAGAACATAAGCCCTATATAGAATCTGCAGATCCCCATATGTAAACAATTTTTTTTTCCTGTAAGAACTGTATTGTGAGACTGAATTTCACAAGGATATTCCTGAGTATAAAATACTGATGAAAATATTGTCATCTTTCTAGATAAAAATGAAAACATCTGGAAATGCACCATATGTCTATGAGGGAAAGAGTGTGATTAAAATTAGTTTCATTTAAAATAAATACCTTCTCCCTCTCTTACATGAGGGCTCACACTGAATTTTGTTATGTTGATTTCCTACCCACGTTAAAATAGTTTATTGATGCATTTTAACCTATGATTCAATGAAAAAATTCCACAATAAAACATAGCAGATCTAAGACTCTATATGCTTCTACAAGCATTCATTAAAGTAGCTTGTTGACTTTATTATTATATTTATTCATTATAGTAGCTTGTTGGCTTTTAATAAAAGTCCTATAACTGTGTTTATCATAGTTTTATAAATTTGAAAATGCTTTCTCCAAAATTGGCACTGTGTATTTCTATTACAGAGCTCAGTCACTGGGACAAAATAATGCTCCACAGTCCTACTGAAGTTAGTATGATTCCATTAGGCATAAACCACTTTCTAACATGAACCACTGGGCTAAATTCATTCAATGTATAAAATAACAGCTTATGTATAATATAGACTAGGCTGAATTCTATGCTAAAATACATCAATAGAAATAGTGATCTTTTTGTGATAGACAGAAATCAAAGGTATTCATTTGAAGTCACAGGACTATTGGCAAGACTATTTCATAAGGGCATACTTTTCTAACAAATACGTTCAAATGTATTGGCCAATGTGTTTCTTCTCCTCTCAAGAGATACAATTGTTTTCTCTCCTGCTTTTTGAACCATGAACTACATATTTTCATTTTATTTCTAGGTCTTAAGGTTATCACAATTTAAAACGATACTGGAATAAATAGGAGCTTCATAAAAACTCTATGCTCTATGAACATCAGCTTTCTTTTCTGATTTAAAGGAAATGTCAGTTTAAAGATGTCTTCAAGTCTTTTTTCATTTTTCTTTTTGTCATCATCTTTCAAATTATTTGTGCAGGTTAATTGATGTAGGTTAATTTGTTTGCATTATCCTTTAATTACTTCTGGGCTCCATCTCCAAAAAAAACTCCATAGACTCCACAAACTGCTTAAATCTATTTCTCTTTATAGAGATATGATTTCTGTTGAGCCAGCAACCAAACTGTTAAAGTGGGTTTTTTCAGAATACAGCCTCAAAATCCTGCCAATGTTTGATTTACCCTTAAATGTTAAGTAATGAATATTTAAAAATACTCTGGGAATTCTCTCTGGTAGATCAGCTGTAATTCTGCAGCTGTGACTCAGTAGACATGTGTACTGAGTTTTAATGCCAATTTGCCTTCTGACTATGGCAGATGTACTGACCCGGTGCTTCACCAACTATTTGTTTGCAGCAGTCGCAGCACGACTGATTCTCTGGGCTGCTGAGCAATTGCAGCTCATACTGGTGAAAAAGAATATTTAGAAATGGAGCAGTCTGCACTTACTGACAACTTTAGACCAAGGAAAAACAATTTCTGTATCTTTTTTTTTTTAACCATAAAATGAAATCAAAAACAGTCATCGCTGAAAGGTGTTTCTCCTTATGACTTTATAATTTATTTTTTTCCCCCAGATCCAAGGGAGTATCTACCCATCTGAATGTGCATCCTGCCTGCAACTTGACTAGATTTTTTTTTTTTTTTAATTACTTCACTGAAATATACCTGAAGTTTAACATGATAATATGCCACTGAGGCTAATCAGTGATTCTATGGAATTTAGTGGGATGGGACTTCAGGTAACCTTGCTAGAAATTACTGGATTTAGCTAGCTTAGGAACAATAAGCAGTGGTACTTTCAAGTCTAGTCTATTAAGACTAAAATTAGTCCTGGATCAGAAAAGCGGCTGCATTTCAACCAGCATAATTGTCTTTGGAAGACATCTACCCTAGTTTTGCCCAGTTTGATCCAGGCTTAGTAAAGCACACCCTAGGAAATATTGCAGCCTGGAATGATTCAGACTAAAGAGAAATGGGAATTAAGACAGAAGCCAGTGTCAGACACAGGATGTTTAATTGAGAGTGTTTGGCCCAGTTTGTTTGTGCTCAGGGGAGAAAGCAAGGAACTAAGTGAGATTTTGTATGGATGTTAAGTTGGTTTTCAGATACTATACAATTTTCTATACTGTAGACTATTTCAGCCCTGTTGGGATCAGTGCAAGTGTGCTTCCTAATTATTGTTATTCTTTCCTTTTTCGGTGTTTGATTTTTCCCCTCTTCCTCTACCCAGGGGCTGCCTGTCGTGTACGACTCTTGACCCTGGATCACTCCTTCAAGGACATAATAGAAACACAAACACCTGACTAACAGTCAGCATTTGGTGTGCTGAAACCCCATACCTAGAACTAAAAGGCACTAAATCCTAAACTAAGTGACAGACTGATTTGTAACCACAGCTTGTAATTTCAAAAGGATGCACAAGAAGTCAAAAGTAGAAATCCTTAAAACTGATTAAGATCTGGGCACCTAGCTCAGCCCAGCCACCTTAGCCTTACTTGAAAACATCCAGTCTGGATGAGACTGAATTTAGCAAAGGAATGTAGTATGGCTTTAAACCATCTTGTATGCTACATGCCAGTTTTTGATTTCAACAACCATTCTCAAAAATGGCTATTAATGATTAGAAAACACAGAACTGTCTTCTTTCTTTCCTGCTCAGCTAAGTTACCTCTTCGTGAACTGTGTCCCTAGTAAACATAAAACTGCCGACAAGCTCTTGCAGAGATTCTGCTTCTTCATTAGTATTGAGTGGAGTATCCATATAACCTGACATCTGTCCAACTGTGCTTTCCACACACTCAGCGAGAAGGCTAAATTCATTACATCAGGGACAGGAGTTGTATTTAGGTTTAACTTACTGATCTCTGCTGCTATTACTGTAATATTGTGCCACAGCAGTGTTTCCCGGTCAAGAGGTTTTGAAGTGAATATCGAACCATTTCCTGAATTGATGTTGAATATTCTGTCCATATCAGTGTGGCGATCTACAGAGTATCTGCAAATACAGAGACAGGGGTTAGGGGAATGCTTTCCTTTTAATTTCTATGCTCTTAAACCATTTTCTAAGACTAGACATCAAACATCTAGTAAATGGGGTTTCCTTTTGTTTTCAGCATAGGCTTCAGAGTCTTTATGTATTCACACAAAGAGCTAATTCTGAGCTACTGGATAATGACACATTGGAGGTTTGATTTAGAAGGTGGAGTATCGTCAGTGAATAAATGAATTGCTGCAGAATTTACATACCTCTGAGAATCATCAAAGCTTTGTTTTTAGTGAGAAATGTGAAGTCTGTGTCCTGAAAGATATGAAGTTTATTTTAAGGCTGAGTTTGCTTTCCCTTTATAAAACTCTCTTTTTATGGTTTGATATCTCAACTGTTCCCAATTATTTCTGATATAAAATTTGACGTCTGGGGTGCATTTCTGCCTTTCACTTCCCAGCATTTAAAAAGGCTGCTCCCCCCAACCAAGTCAGCATGGAATAGAGATTCATTATTCCACAGTACATATCACACAAAGGTTTGCTGTAACTCATTAAAACTAACATTCTCAGCCATGCTTGATGGTATCTAGATGTGAAAATGAATGCTAACAAGCTCTGGGGGAGCTCAGAGTCTAAATACAGATTCAAATTTTCAATCTGATCTTTTGCTTTTTCTGCTGAACTGAACGAATCCAAGTTTAAAAGCTGAACTCTCCAGTTCCCAGGAGAGGGTGCTACCACCTTGATCCAAATGCGGTGACTTGGTTTCATCTCTCATGAAGGGAAAATTCTTGCATAAATTATGTTTTAACAGAAATATGTCTCTGATGCTGCCAAAGCAAGAATGCAATTGCATTATTCTGCTCTTGTTTTAAGCCCAATTGTGTGCTCATGTACAATCCAGGACAGAGCCTTAGGACACCCAGTGTGTACCCTTGGTCTCCTTGCAGGCCATGTCAATGGAGACAAAGGCAGCTACTGCTGTCCCTTGTGCCCAGACTAGGATAATGATAATGGCTGAGCTGGTAAGTCAGATGAAAACTGGGCCAGGAAAATGACTGGCAGAGTGTACTGCCACTACAGAACTGAGGGGAATGCAGAAGCTGAAGAAAAATTTTTGTTCCCTCTCTGCCCTAGGAGCAGCTACAAGACATGTCCTTTATTCTGCACGGATTTCCTACTGCCTGTACAGTGTCCCTTAAATTCTGAGAAAGACCTTGCATGGACAAGGGAGGGAATAGAAGAATCTAGTTGAGACATGATTCTGACAGAAGTTTAAAATTAACTGACTGGCTAATTATCTTGTAACTGAATTTTTTTTTCTTCCTTGCACATAAAAAAATGGGATATAATGTCCACAGTAGATTAGACAAGCCTTACTCCAAAATAAGAATTTAAGTGTAGCCTACCTTGCTAGACAAAACAATAGAAAATATTAACTATTTGCACTAAACTGTTTTTCCATATTAAATTCCTATGGAATGAACCAAATGACATTTAAAGGTACTAGGACTAGTAAGCTAACTTTTTTTGGTAGAACTTGCACAAGCACATCTTGCTAGTGTTTCAGGAGTTCAGATTTAATTTTCATTCACTGCTGTCACTCTACTGACAATATTGCAATTTTGGCTGCATGAAGTCAGCTGTGGTGTCACTAACCTAGTTTCTTTATGCAGCACTGTAATGCTGCATACCTCAGCTTGAAAAGTGTTGCTTTGTCCAAATCTAAATAGCAGATGTGAATGTGTTGACTTGGCTGAAATGTTTGATGGAAACACATTTATACAAACTTGTCTGGCTAGTTTATATTTTTACAAAGTAAGTATTTGATATGGTAAACATTTCATTTTAACTTTCATTCACTCAGGCTTTGTATGATATTATGTTGGTATTTCATGAATTCAATTATTTTTCAGATATTCTGTAGCTCATTTCCATATCTTTCAGCTGAAATACTTTCTTATTTCCATTTTGCAGTAAATCTACATTTTCCATTCTTCTTCGAAATGAGGTATCAGGATTTTCCATAGATTAGCTTTCCACTCAACTGTAATAGTATGTTTCAGGCTCTTATTCAGCAAGATATTTAAATAAGCAACTAGCTTTAGGCATGAGTTGTCCACTCACTGGGGTTTTTTTCTTCAATTTTACTTTCACTCCTGCTTTATATTTTGAATGAACTTGAAATATCTTACTGTCTTAGCACATTTTAATGTCTTAGTGTATTGTGATCACTATCTTCCCTTTGTAGGATTTCCCAAATTCTAGGATTACCAGAGCTGTAACACTGAGGACTTCTTTTTCAAGATATTAAGAATTTTAAAATGTAAGTATTTGTAAAGCCATACGTATATTCAGTCATTTCTACAGTGGAAACTTAAAACTCATAAAAAAAAAAAAACTCACCGGAGAACAGTTTCTTAATGAAATGTTAATTTTATTTCTTCATATCCCAAAGAAAATACATACAAGGTCAATGCAGTTAAAGTATATTCCAATTATACCATTAAATCTGGTCTAGAAGGATGATTTTAATAAGCTAGACTGTCACTTCTGTTTCTCAGTTTGCATAATCCAGTCTCTTTTGATCAAGACTCTTAATTATGTTGAATTGGTGGGGATTCTGACTTATGGATCATAACCTAGTAAGAATTAAGAAGATAACATCAAACTCATTTTTACATTTATTTAATGAAATTACTCATGTGTATTTGTCAGATTCCAGGATTTCATCTCTTTCAAACTTTGAGGAATTGACAAGCTAGGAAGTTAAAAGGTATCTATGCAGATTACAGTCTCTCCTTTTACATAACAGGAAGAAGGTAAGGGCGAAAGAGAGAATCTAACACATGCAAATATGTTGTCAGTAAAATACACAAACAAAATTAAGCCTTACATTTGTTTGCAGATCATTTTCATCTGGGATACTTTAGTAAATCAAATCACAGCAGGAAGACAGTTCCAGTGACTGATGAACTTCATTATGCCTCTGAGGAGTTACTATAGCAAAAAAACTCAACTAGCAATTTAAAAAGATCTGATGTACAATATTGCAGTGCCAGTTTCAGCATTTTTTTTTCAGTATGCAGTGGTTTATATTATTTCTGTGTAGATAAAACAGAAGCAGAATGCAACCCTTTTTTTTTTATAACACATCTGGACAGTGGAGTGTTACTCAGGACTGTGTTAGTGGCACTACACATAGATGCATATTCAAATATAGCTGATGTATTTTTGTATTTTCTCAACTTTTTTTTTTTCCACATTTTCACAGCAAAACTTAATTTATAAGAGATAGACTGATGAAATTTAGCTCTACCAATATAGAGGTCAGGAATGATTATGCAGTCTTAGAACCAGGGCAGATACCTGCTTCATATTTTGCTATTGCTTCATTGTCTTCTGATGTTCAGCAGCTTGCTGTCTAATGTAACCACAAGTCAGAAAGATTTGTGGGTCAGGAAGGGATGTGTGTGTGAATTTTTCATAATGCATTTTCATAATGATATTGTGAAGGTTTCCTTTAATGGAAGATCAAAGGGGCTTTCATCTAACAGAGTTAGGGCTCAGTTTGTTTAGGAAGAGAAATCTTCACTTGAGTAGAGGAGAAAATGGAAGGTTTTCATTGTAATATCAAGTGTCTAAAGATTTTATTTTTAACCGTCACGAAAAATTGACAAGCAAGTGACAAGACATATATATACAGTCTAATTGCATCTCACCCGAAGCTCAGAGTGAAAATTGGATTTAGTATCTCTATTGCATGATAGAAAAAAAAAATTACCTTGTCAAAAAGATGCAGATGCAACCCATGCCCCTAAATTCTAGTAGATACCCAAGATATTAGCACCATAAAATTACATTTATTGCAAGTTAACATCTCTCAGGCTACTGCTCTCTTCTGATTTCCTTCCCCTCTTACTGATTTTCATGTTTCTTCTTTCTGTGTTTATTTCTATCACTCTAACCTCTTCCATAATTTTTATTTTACTTTTCCTTGCACTTTACTGTTGCATGCTATTGAAGAAAAAAGAAAACAAGATTTCTGCTGCACTGCATCAGTTTTGACACTTTTGCTAAATTTTGCTCAATAACCGTCTGATACTTTAATATGCAAAGTATTATATATACTGTATTAAAGAACTGCCCTTTGAAAGTTAGATAAGTTTTAGTACACACATTCAATTAATAGCAAAAAGCTGGTAGGCAGTACTCAACAATGAACAGCATAATCCCTATCCACTGTAAATCACTTATAATTAGGAGCTGGCACTGGTGTGAAATGCAAATGGTTGTAGTTATCACCACAGGGAAGCAGGGGAGCACTCCCCTTACTCTCCAGTGCCATTACATATAAAAAAGCAGGTTCCTATGAAGTCTGCAAGGGGCCTAGGTGTCACCCCAAACAATTTTTCATCTTCATGCTAGCATGCCCATGAAAACATGCTATAGAAGTTGTTTATTCTGTCCCTGGGCTTCACCAAAGTCTGCAAAACATTATGCTACTCTGTAAGCGACTATGCTCTGCTGGCCCAGAACACCATATCATTGTTGCATGTCACGATATAAATGAAAGAAAGCCTTAATTAAACTTAGAAGGCTTAGTCTTGAGCAAGAATTCATGTGTAGGGCATGCCATGCAAACTGAAGATAATGAGAGTTTCTGCAGAAACATTTTAGATTTAGCTCCTCCATCTAGGAAATTAAGATTATAATATTTACCCCCTCACAAGATGAGCTAAGAGCTTAAAATGTACTCATGCCTCTTAAGTATAGTAAGATATCTTGATGAAAGATAGTTGTTTGCAGAAGTGGACTGGATTTTTATTAAACCTGCATTGTTCTATTTTGATCTAAAGATGACTATTGCATTTCCAAGGTGCCCAACCAGAGACATGATGAAAATTGACCTGAATTTAATATTGCTGTACTACTACTCATTTCCTCCTCTCACTGCCTTGTCAGTAGCAATGAACATTAAATAAAGCACACATTTATTTAAAAGTTCTTTTATACTCTATCCAATATGAACTTAAGTATTCCAGCATATACTGAAACAATGTACCACTTAATTTATGAAAAAATTAAGGCTTAGGTTTAGCTACTCCAGTCTCAACATTTCCTCCACCACCTTTAAGACTAGTTTATTGATTCATGGCAAGTGTGATTTACAAAGTTCATGAGACTGACTCTTTATCTCATTAGCCTTACACTGATACAGGTGAGATCAGAGCCTTTGTGTGCACATGAACTGACTTTGAGGCATTTCTACTTGCAGTTTAGAGGAGATAGCTGACCTCTGCTAAGCAGGTCTGGATAGACGGAAGAAGAAAAGGCTGCTGAATCACCCCCCTGTCACATAGCCAAGAGGATGCACTGCACTGCACTGGAAAAAGTTAGTGCTCTTTTTTGCAGTAAATTCTTTCATGGTAGAAATAAAGACAGACATTAGTTACTGAAGAGATCAGGATGTAATTCCAGATGCAAAGGCCATGCAAACACAATCACACATAACGACATATGCTCAAGCGTGAGAGATTATTTACCATCTACAACACTCCATATTTAAGCATGCCCTACAATTCACATTGTTAGAAGTTATTTTTTTCTTTGTGTGTGCTGACATGATAGATGCAAAATTAACACTGTAAAAAATTTATGGACAAGCTGAAATTGGATATGCTTACTTCACAGGGTTCCTGGCAGCATCTGGATCCTGAGCAGTTACTGTTCCTATTACACTGTTTATTGGAACGTCTTCTTTCACTTCCATTATGTATGCTGGTCTGCTGAACACAGGGGGTTCATCTACATCCTCCACCTGAATTCTGACTGTAGCTGAGTCCTTGAATGGTCCCAAGTACAGGAATCGAGGGTCCACGTGAGTATTGGCAGCTTCCACTTTGAGAATATACAAGTTTTTATTTTCAAAATCCAATGCCTTGCAAGGAAAAAAAAAAAAAGGTGTAAGAAGTCTGTGGGGATTGCTGTGGCTTGCAGCCAGATGAGCCAAATGAATGGTGGGAAGTCATGGAGAGGCTTGAGCTAGAAAACAAGAGCCTGAACTGGAATTAAAATGTCAGCAGAAATGAAAAAGAAAGGGCTCTATGCCACTGATGATATACTAAGAAAAAACCACTTTTTCAAGGAATTCTAGGCCTGGAACTCCTAAACACCAATTAGTCTTTTCTTCTCAAATAGCATTAACTTGCCTGTTATTCTGTCATTTTTGGCATTTTGATGATTTCTTGTCTATTCCTTGCCTATAAGCACCACACACTAAAGGAGGGAAGATTTTCTAGGTATTGCTTGTTTAGATATTGGCATTCCATCACTGAAATGAAACTGTGACATCTAGTGTCTGGATATCCAGGACCACCCATCAAGTCAAACATGATTTATGATCGGCTATGACTATATCACACTGTTAAATGTATGAAGCAGCAGCATTTAGCAACTCTTTGCCACTGTACTTGGAAAAATGTGGAGAGGGAGCAGTCACCCCTATCCACTGTAAAAATGCCCATGTAAAAATGTAAAAAATTTTTCCATTGCATTGTAGAGGATTCACAGCTTCTGTCAGCAACAGACAGAAATGCAAATGGAGTTAGACTGATATCATAATCAGACCCTGGAAGGCATCTCCTAAAAAACAAGTAATGACAGGTGTCGTACTGATATCAACAAGCAAGTGCATCTTTGGAAAATCTACACAATGTCTATCTAGTGATGACTGAACCTGAACTGATGAAGGATGATATCTGTAACCTTATCAAGTTTGCCTGATAACCCACTGTAAACAATATTTCTCAAACCTTTTCTGACAGCCAGTGTGCAATCTAGTAGATGATGTCCACTATGATCTAGCAAGGCACTGTGATTTTTTTTTCTAAAGCAGGCTGATAGATTTATTAATTACATTTGTACAAAATGTGAGTCAAAAGAAACTTGTCTGTGTACTGTAATATATTATAGGTACACAATTCAAATCCTCTGATAATGCAAATAGGCAATGTGATATTGATTCTTTCTGTGTTCTTAACACAGCACCTTCTGCTAAGTGAGCAAATCCTGTAAGCATCACAGGGAGAAAATCACAGCTGGATGGTGGTGCTTCCTTGAATTTTTCTGTGGATACGTTCTGGCTGTATAATTTTTTTCTCAGTCCCACCTGACTCCTTAGCTTATTTACTCTCTCAGCTCCTTCAAAGTATGTGCACTGGGGATTAGTCAAGGAAACATAACAGGAAGGATACCAATTGCTCTTATAAAAGAAACTTTACATTGGTAATGTAGACATTCCTAACAGACAGCATTCAAATTAAACAAAAATCACGTTTGCACTAAAAATGAAAAATGAGTATCTGCTAGAAAAAGTTTTGACTGGTATTTCAGAGGCTGGGATAAAGTGTGTAAAGATATTTACCTTTTTCACAGTTATAATTCCTTCCTGTGTGTCCTTGTCTGTGGTAATTCCAAACATGTCATATCCGTCCCCCTCAGTGATGCTGTATTCAATCTCTGCATTTTCATCCACGTCAGCATCATTGGCTTTTATCCTGCCAACTGGTGAGTCTAATGGCATAGACTCGGGAACTCTGAATTGATATGTGCCTACAGCAGACAGAGCAGGAAATTTTGTTAGTCAGTCTCATGGTACTTTGGACACCATCTCTCAGCCCTCTGTCCATGCTGGGCATGCACAGGTGAGTTAGTGAGTCATTGTGTCTTCAGGCCTTCCTGGGGCAAAAGCCTTCACCTTTTGCCATACTTTCATGTGGATAAAACTAACTTCTTTCTCTATCTGTTTTCTAATATGGAGGATGGGCATTTTGCTTTGCTAGAAACATGTAACTTAAGCAACATATGTCCCTTTCATGACATTCTCATGGTCTCTGTGGGCCATATCAGAACTGTAAATGAAAAATGTCCTGAGGCCAAAGGACAAATATTAAGAACTGTCAGAGGCCAATGCAGTTTAGTAACAGTAAAGCTGAATTCAGCTCAAATGCCTATTAAAATGTGCTATGTTGAATTTTCGTCTGAAAAAAAAAGTCTACTTGTGGAATGTCAGCATTATGAAGCTGTATCTTTGGGTTTTATATTGAAGACATTTATGTCCAGAGAGGTATAATTAACTTACTGGGGTTAGAGTGCTATATTTCTTCTTAAGTTGCTCTAATTTAAATGGAAACTCTTTGCCCACAGCTAAGAACAGAGTATGAACTTAAATGACAAGTTGCTTCCAATAACTTTCCCAGTGACTTAACTGCCAAAGCTTGCTGATTTGTCTGATAGGATCTGCAATTATTTTCTGTAACAGCTGCTCTTGACTTTGACACACACTGACACTGTGATACACACACATCATACAGAGAGCAGTGGTTAGAAAGTGCAAAACAAGAAGAAAGAGAGAGAAAAAAGGAAGGAAATAAAAACAGGGAAAGAGAAGTGGATGAAAGCTGAATCACTTTGAATTACTTATGGCCATGAATGGTCATTAACAGAAATTACTTTCTGGAAGAGCTTGCTCAACTGATTCCCATAAATATCACACAGATAAGTACCAAAGTATTTAAGATAGGGGAAGTAAAATAGGCAGAAATACCTGGTATATTTAGGTACATGCTTTTGTTTCCGTATGCAAAGAATATAAGAAAATCCATTGAAGCAAATGCTTTCTGGTTGTGAATATTTTTTACAGAATTGCTTTTAGGATATTTTTGCATAATTAAATAAACATGTTTCAAAACTTAAATATATTAGATTACAAGAGAAATCTTAAAATGTGATCAACCACAAGGTCCAAAAGAAATAATGGTGAACAAGAAATACAGATTATGTTGATCACAGCTCTTTAACAGGTAGAAAAAACGGAAGTTGTTTCTGCACAATAATTCACCTCTCAAACTCCCAACTGCAGCTGAAGTAAAAATATTAAATATCTGTTTCCCAGTTATTGCAATTGATCTTAGCATGCTGCTATTGCTTACTTATGCGCTCTTTTTTGCCTTCCTAAAGAAAGTTTGATATTCAGTAAATCCACAATAGAAGAAACAATATCTAAGGTGAACAAAAACCAAAACAAGAACAATTTTTGTCCATGTTAATATTACAGCACAGAATGTAAATTTTCCATACTCTGGGGGAAGCGAGGTGGGTTGTCGTTTACATCAGTCAATGTGATGTTCACGGTGGTGGTTCCCGACAATCCGCCCATCTGGCCTCCCATGTCTTTAGCCTGGATGACCACTTGGTATTGCTCTCTATTTTCACGGTCCATGTTTAGCAAAGCAGTTTTAATAATGCCTGAAAATATAAAAATTAAAGAGTAGGGATTCACACATAAGGTACTGACTTTGATGGAAATTCTTATTAAAAAGCCCTACATCTAAAAAACAAAACAATCTCTTCATAATAAGTAAACTTTGCCCAGTACAAATATTTACTGTTATGAGATGGTTCATTAAATTACAGACTTGTCATGTCACATCTTAGGCTACTGCCTACGTGACAGACATAGTATTAGTGGCATCCCCAGAAAGATGTTCCACTTATTTGTGAGCCATTTATTTTACATAAATATTTACCCTCTTTCAGTTCCATGCTAGAGTCTCTCACTAAAGTGGAAAAAGACTCTTTATTCATTATAATGTGCTCCATCATTTCCCTCCAGTTTTTTATTTTGACAGATGTGGTTAAAAAAAAAAAATCTAATTTTAATAAGATACCATTAAAGAGTGCAACAACATTAAATGGAAGAAGAGAAATTAATTAAGAAAATTATGAGCATAAAAACATGCCTGTGTATATATTTTTATTTATACATGGATTAGAATGATTTGCCAGTCACTTCCTTCTTCAAAGGCACAAATATCAGTTATGAGGGTAATTCCTACTGAAATTCAATCATTCAGATTTACCATGAAGCAAAATGTTTGCTTTGTCACTGGATCTCTTAAGGTAAGAACTGACTCCTTTGTAAGCAAAAGGAGTGAAATTCAAGTACTGCAATCCATGACAAAACTCACAGTGACTTTGACAGAGACTTATTTCACTCTAGGAGTTCTGCAATTGATTTTCATGGCAGCAAGATCAAGACTGTGGTTTGCTTCGCTTCCCTTGCCCCATGCAAACCTTGTGCTAAAAGATTACTACTGGTGAACTCCCAGCTACCTTAATCTTCTTTTAACTCTACAAGAGCACATAGTGTACTGTCCAAGTCAGAATGAGTGCACCAGTGCAAAATCCTGGCTTGTATTATTAAAACCTTACGCTTGAAGAAAAGCTCCCTTTGATCTTGGCTCTCACTCCTTTCAGAATTGTGTACACTTTTTCACCTCAGATTTCAGTTTGAGACATACATAATCTCTCTCTCCTTTTCCCTGACTGAGTCTCTACAATTTATTTAAGATAGGAACCAATGCTAAAACGTGATTAATTGTCTGGGATGATCAATTGCTTTCCTGTAAGGATGCCGAGGAGAGTTGATTTCTCTAGCTTCCAGATACCTAACACAATGGATATTCCCAGTGAAGGAATTTTTGAGATCTCGTTTCTCTCTGGAAAATTTTGTTATAAGGCTTGTGAAGAGACCAGCTATGTAGTCAGAGAGTCAGTGGTACTGTAGATCCAGCCAGCTAGAATGCATGCACAGATTCTAAAGATGTTATTCAGACCATTAAAAATTCTAGTCACTGTCTGTAATTTAAACATCTTCCAAAAACAGAACTCAGAACTTTGGGATTCTATTTGTGATCCTCTAGTTTAGCGCAACAGTCAATTTTACCTCTTCTATCATTATTCTTAATTAAGATTTCTTTCATAAAATTAGCATTAAAGTGATATGTTGCAGATGTACAGAAATTATAATTACTTTAAACAAGTTTTGAAGAAGCAGAAGGACAAAAAAAACTCACCTGAACAAATCTTCAGTCTTAATTTAGCCATTATGAAGATCTATGAGGAATAAGCACTTTTTTCCACACCCACCTGTTCCTCGTTTTCATCTAAAAGCCAAGCTATTTGGTTTAATTTAAACATCTACAGCAGCCTCTGTACCCACTGCTTGTTAAAAATGATTGAAAACTGGTTCACATCCAGTACTAATTGTATTTATTAGACTTTGCTGGTAAGATTAAAATAACGTAGGTGTCATGTTTACAGATGTATCGCTCTATTAAGTTTGTCAGATTTTGCACTAAGATGTAATCTCTTTGAGTTTGGTTTTTTTTTCCTATTATATCCTAGCTTGGCTTAGCATGTCAGTTTGAATTACAGACATTGTCACAGTATGACAGATAAGGTCCCCTGACCTGTCTCAGATTCGACAGAGAAATATGGTTGTCCCTGGAGAATGCTGTAGACAACTTTAGCACTGTTCCCATATGTAGGATCATCAGCATCAGTGGCAGTGACCTGCACAACAAAGGTACCTGTAACGAAAAATTTAAGAAAATAAAAATTAATAGGGTTTTTTTTCATGGCTAAGACACTTATGACATAGAAAAAAAAACACAGTTGGGTCAGATTTGTGGAAGAAGGTGGAGATATTCTTATTTTACAGATACAGTCCCAAAATGATAGTTGTCTTATTCTCAACTCATTAAAACACACAGGTATTGACTGCATATATAGATCCTTCCTGGTGTTTCTTATGAAGGAAGCAGAAACGCACCCTTCTCCAGATACTTAAAGCATTCAGAATTTGAATCTAGGTCAAGAATATACTTTTGCAAATTTACTAACACTTGTAAGGTATTTGACATAGGAATGTAAATCTCTTTTTTCATGTGCCTTTGAGAGAAAGAAATGGTGTTGAATCCTAGGCAAAGTGTTACGAAACATAAAAATTTAGCTTAGATTTTGGCATTTAAAACCATTTGTGAATAAAGTATTCACTTCCCAATTTAAAATGTGAATACTAGGTTCTTGCTTCATCAGTTGTGGTTTCATCCATGTGACAAGTCCCATGAATGAGAGGAGAGAGTATGTCCCAAAGTCTTTATTTTCATATTGCCTGAGCTTTATTTTAAACTCATTCTTGATCATGAGTAATTAATGCTTCTCTCCCTGGACATTATTCCCAATTAGAAATGTGCTTCTTGCAATTCAACCATCCATTGCTCCTTGACAAAGAAATCAAACTGCCCTCCCTAAGAATCAGAGACAAAGAATCAAAACCTGTCAACTTCTCAGAAAAAGATCCCATCTTAAAATCATATTTCAAGGAAGTTATTTTCTTGATTGATTCTTACAGCTCAGTACATTTTAAATCAATAGAAAGATTTCAGTGGACTTTGAAAGAGTCTGGAGCTCTTTTCTTTTGCATGAAAAGAGCAACAAAGGTCATAGGAAATAATTGGCATATCTCAGAATCAGTGATGAGTTGACTTGAGTTACCGTTTTCACTCCTGAAATGTGTACAACACCTTCTGTACCTGCTCTTTTCCATTTTGTTTACTTTCCTAACTAAAGAAGGATTGCTGAACGAATCTAGGAGTGGTATTGACACAGGTGACCACGGATTACCATATTATTACACTGTTACTAAATCACGTTAACAAATCTTATTAAACTCTAAGGGTGTCATGTAACACAGCTCTCTTTAACTGAAGCTAAAGCAGAGGGTATTAACTTGCATTTTTTTGTAGTGCAACAGAGGGAGCATGTTTCACTCAGCTGACATCTCTGATACCAGCAAACCGGTGTCACTATCTTCCTGGAGTTAGATTTTTTTTTAAATGTCTAAGGTGCTTTTAACTCCAGACTCAAACAGCAGATGTCCATATTCAGTGCCTGTAAACTTTGGGCCCTTCATTAACTCCACAGAAAGAACCCAGACCAGACACTGAAATCAGTTATTAGTTAGCACCTACCAACATCTGACATTTCAGGAATGCTGGCATTGTAAACGTCCTTTGTAAACATTGGCTCATTGTCATTGATATCATGGATCTTAATGATGAACTCAGATTCGGGTTCCACTGGTCTTCCAGTCCTTCTGTTTACAGCCTGGGCACGGAGTATGTATACAGGCTTTTCTTCCCTGTCTAGTCTCTTTGTAGCCTGGATGTCACCAGTGTTTTCGTTGATAATGAAGAGGTCTCCTGCTCCATCTCCAGAAAGGATGTATTTAAGTGATCCATCTCCTTTATCCTGGTCTGAATGCAGCTGGTGGTGAAATGGGAATAAATAAAAAGAAAGTAAAATAAATAACTGGGACACAATTCCAGATACTTTAACTGATATCATGATATATGCTTTACTATTATTAATACTCAGCCAAAAGTCTGTACACTGCTTTTGGGAAAAGAGTTGATATCACAGTAGAAGCAGTGAAAAGACAGAGTTGTATCTTGATGTCAGAATTGAAACGGTCTGCAATATTATAAGAAACTGCCGTAGGTGAACCATGAACTCAAGCTGCAGACCACTTTCCCAATCTAAATATATATCAGTTAACTCTAAATGCTAGTAGCCTAGGTGAAATCCTAGAAATATGTAGAGCAATGAGATCCTACAGTGGAAACCCAATGGATTCAGGAATTGCAGTAAGAAAAAATTAGAAAGTGACCAGTCAAGCCACTTCTTCAGTTTAAATTTTGGATGCTTGGCTCTTACATGCCATGGACATTATGTAATTTACCACACAATGCACAATAAAATAACATACTAAATGCCTACACAAACAGTAGATAAATACATGCATTCACAGATCTGGCTAACTAAGGGCAGAGGCAGGCAGGCAGGCATACTAGAGCATTACAGTACTGGAAGGGAAGAGATCAGTAGCTTTACCCAAAGGGACATGGACCAAGCTGAAACTTAGTGGGGGAAAGGGAAAGAGAAAGAAGAGAATGGTAATTAGCATACAAAGCATGAACTGCCCAAACCATCATCTTCTTTTCCCAGAAGATTTCCACATCTCTTGAAATGCTGTTTAGCATACACAAAAGGTGTAACTGACTAAATCGTACCCCCATGGGTATTCCTTTGATAAAGGCTTATTTATTCCCCCTTAAATCAAGGCTAGCTACATTAGAGGAAATAAAAATTTAGAAAATGGAATACTATAATGGTTTCTAAAATCAGAGCATAAGTGATAAAATCAATGGGGAAAAAATCTGTTAGGTAGCAAGATTCCTGGAATTTTTTCTCTCATAGTGAAGGCACTTTTATGAGTTAGAAGAGCTGGACTTTCTCAACCGTATCTTTGCTTCTCTTTCCCTGAATAAAAGTTAGGAAAAAAAAACCCTAGTTGACTCTGTGGCAAAGTACTTAGCATTGTTAGATAGCATGCTTTGTAGAAGAGAAAGATTTGTAGATTGAAAGAATGTTGGCATAGACTTCACTGATGCCTGGTTATGCCCCTACCATGCTGGAAGGGCAGCCTCCAGCATTACCTTATGGTCAATGTTTTGGGTTTCCTACAACTTTCTGCCCAGATCAGAAACTTACTGCCAACCCCCTCGAGGGCACTGTGCTCCACTCTGTGTACATATGCCTATGATCCCTAGAGAAATCTCGCTTCATGCAACAAGTTTGCCTTTAACAGCAAAACTCTCTGTCACCACACATACCAAAACTGTCCAATAATACAAAATATCATAACTGTAGCGTGGTTAATCATTAGCAGACATGCTGAAGCACTCTTCGTAATTTCCTTCAGGAAGAAAATGGGCATTCTGTGTAATTTTGCACGGAGACCTTTTTCTTGATAATAAGAATACCAATAAGTAGCTTTTATGCAGCCTTTTTCATAAGCAGATTTAACAACCCTTCACAAAACCAGTCAATACCATTTGCTCTGCTTTTTGGGTAACAAAGCAAAGTTTCCCAGAAGGCTAGTCTTGAAACTTGGAATAGAGTTTAGGTCTCCTGAGTCCTATTCAGTTGGCCAATTCCCTTGGCCATGAGGCCTAGACGAGTTATTTATTAGACATAACCTCAGACTCTAAAAAACGTTTATCAGCTTGTTAAGAAGTTAGACTAGAAGTCTACTGCAGGAGATAATTTCAATAGATTATTTGATTAGAGTTTTTCTCAAAGGCAACCTGCAACAGAAAGGCATGAAAATAATTTTGTCTTTAAAACTGTGTATTTTTATGATTGTTTCACATCAAAAACTCAACTTTTGTTTGCCTTGAAAGCCTCTTTAACTTTGTATCATACTGGGAAAAAAAACAGCCCTCAGTAACAGACTATCATTAATTCATATGAATCATGGAAGAGTGCTGTTTTGAGACTTGGTACAGGCTGAACTCCCAAGCTCATTTTTATAATCATTTTAATTAAACTTAGTTTCAATGAACAAAGTAGCAAAAAAAAGGTTAACATAGAAAAGGTGTTGGAACCACTGGAATAGTCCTCCATAATATTCTTTACCTAGCCCAGACCACCTGAAGAGCTAAAAATAGAAAATTGTAGGATTTTTTCACATCAATTGTTTATGAAATTTCCACTCCTCCTCCACAATTAATTCACCTGTGTAAGACCCATTATGACTCTGGACATCAAGACATTTCTTGGTGTCATCAATACTGAGAATGAGGATCTGGTCTTCATCTAAGGTTCAATCTCTAGACCTCCAACTAAACCACTAACTTTTGAAAATAAACATTCCCTCTGACAAGATCCTTTCCAACTTCTATATCTTTAGTTTTGCAACCTTCCTAAAACATGACAGATACAGTATAGCACACAGAGCTAAGGTTGGCTGAATGCCTGTTCTTCAAACCAACAGCAAACTTACAGCATGTCACTATGAGTGGCCTTGGGAACATGGTTCACAAAGGGTCTAAAAATGTATGACTAAAATCTATTTGATGTCAGTAAAGGACAAGAAAGGATAGGATAGTTGTCACTCTAAGGGGATAGACTTATATCACACCATGATCAGCTTCAATTGCTTAATTGCTGGGGCAAAATAGTTTGGATTTTGTTCCCTTTTATTCAGAAAGAAGTTTTTATAGTTTTTATATATTAGAAAAAAGCCAAATAGATCTCTGGAAAAGTTTCTTATAAATTTGCAGCATTCACTTATGAGGAAAATATATTTAAAAAAAAATACTATTTTAGATTACAGTATTTATCCTTGACTGTTTGCTTGGTAGAAAAGTTTTATTCAGGCAAAGACAATCTTCTGTTTTATTTTTTTCTTAAGTGTCAGTTTATTTTGGAAGCAATGTTTTGTTTGTGAAATCTATATGAAGAAGGAAATAGCTACTGTAACCAGGTTAAAAAGAAATAAATTGGGAATAAAACTAAAGGACAAAAATAATGGTGCAAGTTGAGGCCAGAAGGAAGGCCTGGAGGCAAGATATGCTTAAAAATACAGGGGATTTGTATATAAAATCACCACTGCGAGGTTATGAGGATAAAATGAATGGTAATAACAACCCCATTTTCCTTTAAGTTGAAGTTATTTTTCACTACCCAGACAACTCATTGCAAAGAAAGTGACAAGGTATGCTCATAAATTATACTGCAGATGCTTTTAGCAGGGCTGATGCTAGCCAATACATGATATTATAGCTTCACTCTGTGCTATAACCTGTGTTGCAGAAGAGGGTCCATTATCCTATGCATAAAGTTAGTCAAATAAAAGGGCCATGGCAGATAGTCATGGGATAGAATAAAATGTTTGGGACACAGAGCTCACGTCATATAGGCTGTATCATATTACCATTCCTCAAGACAAAGTTACTTCAGCCAAAGATTTTAGGATTCCACATTAAGACAGATTTTTTTACTTCCACAGGAATTCAGTGTTACTCAATACCATTCATTTCAATCAATGGCTGAACTGAGCAATACCCCAAAGGTAAGCAAAATTGGGAAGAACTAAGTCTATGCAATAAAAAGTAAATGCATCACCAATTGCACTGTATTAATATTATAGTAAATTGATTCATTCAGAACCTAATATGAACACTCCTGTGACATTATCCATCAATCACTGGCGAAGTCTGAGGATGAATTCAAGATTTTACTATGCCCTAGGCATACTTTTACTCAGTTTAATACCACTGTTAAGTGAACCATCTGGCTTGCTTTTAATGACTTACAGTCAGATAAAAACTCTACAGCCTTTGTCTTTCTTCTGCCCCTCCCAAATGTTCTGGCTCAAACCATTCAAATATATCTGCCTGGACATGGGGAAGGTTTCATTCCTCCTGAAGGAAGAGGCGTTTAAAGACCATGCAGGGCTGTAGCATTAGCTGCTTGTATTAGACATTCTGCTTGTTGTCATATACTTAATTACTTTAAAATGAAAGTTGGTTGTTTTTTGGTTTTGGTTTTTTTGTTTTGTTTTGTTTTGTTTTGTTTGTTTGTTTGTTTTTTTCAATTTAACCACAATCTGGAGTAGCCTTGTTCCCTGCAGTATCTCTGGCAGAACCCTCCAAAGTCTCCAATGGTGGTAGCAATGGGGTGTCTTCAGCACGACAACAAGGAAAAGGCAAGTGGTATCTATGCTCAAAAGTATTTGTACACAATTTTTTTAAATTTATTTCTGGAGTGCATACATCAATAGCATGTGTGTTCATTGCTTTATTTTAAAGTAATATTCCAGAAAAATTTTACCAGGGCTTTAAAAATTAATTTGGACCCATTCTACACACTCAGGAATTACTTCAGCAGACAATTCAAGCAGGAAGAATTTAAGGGCATGTTTCATGTGCTTTTGCAATAAGACTGTAAACTGACATAGTGTGGGGGATAGCGTCTGCCCAGGTGGGTGATGGAAGGGTCTGTCCCATGGCCTGTCCACTGCCCCAGACAGGAGCAGGGCACCCCCAGGTGACTGAGCCAGCCCCAGCCCTGGGTATTGGGCACCTCCTGGGAATGGTGATGGCTGGGCAGGGCTGTTGGGAGCTGGAGACTGGCCCTGTTGTGGTGTTTCTGGGGCAGGGGCTGCTGACCCCATTGGGCTGACATGGGGTCCTGGACTGTGGGCAGATGGACAGGAACAGTCAGGGCTGGGTGGTGCCCTCAGGACCCTTCTCTAACCATGGTAAATTCAACTTGAGATGAAACTGTATGAAATAGCAGTGCAAACTGTATGATCAAAGTGAGACCCCACATTTTTTAATAGGTTAAGACTAACCATAAACTTTTTTTTCCTGTTTAAATGAAATACACTAGAGATAGGTGGCTTTCTAGCATGGATA